AGGGTGAGGGGAGTGGAAAGGGAACTGTTTTTGCAACTCTTAGCTGTCCACCTACTTCTAATTCAGAGATTGGAGTTTAGAAGATTTTGAGAGAGTTTTTGGTGTGCTGTGAGTGGACATTGCTTTTTCCTCACCTCACACCTAGGGAAAGAGGCTTTAATGAAACTTTGATGTATGATCCCTACACCTGGCAGGGGGGTAGGGTAGGGGTTGAGGTCACAGTGGACTAGCGTCTGACTCATATCTGAGGAATTCATTCATTCAATACTTAATGTAGCACTTAATAAGTAAAGGCACTGTATTTGCCTTTTCTAGGTACAGGCAAATTCAGTGGTGAGCAAAATAGATAAAAATTCCCCACTTCATGGAGCTAACATTCTAGTGGATGAGAGCAAAAAATTTTGGCTAATTGCAAAAATTAGTTTGGGATATGGTCAAAGTCTGCACTCTCAGAGGCAAAGCCACTCTGTAGGTATTTGGATTAGACCAGGGCTACTAGAAACAGTCACAAAGAAGGATAAGATTTCCACAGAAAAAAGCTGGGGGTATAGCTATACATGCTAGCAATTAACATTGAGCTGACAGCCAGATGAAATATATTTACTTGGTAAGCACAAGATTACCAGTATTTTCTCATTGAGCTAAGGTGAGAATTAAGGTGTTACCAAAGAACTCATTAAGTAACAAGTGTCAACTGTAAACATCTGCCAACTCAAAGAGTAGCAACCCTTAATCACAGAACTGTAGTAGCGAAGTTAAGAACTTTCTTGCCTCTTTCTCTGTTTGAACTTGAAAGAAGAAAGGAAACCTGGAGTTGGTGGTGATGATGGGAGTTCGGGTGGGGGTGGGTGTGGTGGGGATTAGGAGAGAAATTTTAGACAGAGAAATAAAAGGGAAGTCAAACATTTTTTACTTGAACAACCAGAAAAGTCATGAGATGTGTATCTTATTTTATTCAATGAGCATGGAAGGATTAATTCCACCAGGTGTGTTTTAACATGTGGAGTGAAAATAAGTTGCTTACAAATTGCACACTATACATCTATTTGTTCAGTTTACCAGTTACAGGTGTTAAACATAATAACATGATAAGATTTACACATCCATGAAAAAAATGTTCAACTTGGCTTTTATTTAGAATTTACTTTTATTTGATTCTTTTAAAAGCCTAACATAACTTACCAATTACCTTTATTTATTTATTTATTTATTTATTTATTTAGAGACAGGGTCTTAGTCTGTCACCCAGGCTGATCATAATTCATTGCAAACTTGAACTCCTGGGCTCATGTGATTATTTATTTATTTATTTAGAGACAGGGTCTTAGTCTGTCACCCAGGCTGATCATAATTCATTGCAAACTTGAACTCCTGGGCTCATGTGATCCTGTCACCTCAGCCTCTCAGGTAGCTGGAACTACAGGTGCATACAACTACACCTGGCTAATCTTCCTTCCTTCCTTCCTTCGTTCCTCCCTCCCTCCCTCCTTCCCTTCCTCCCTTCCTTCCTTCTTCTTCTTCCTTTTTTTTTTTTTTTTTTTTTGAGACAGGGTCTTGCGATGTTGCTCAAGCTGGTAACTCCTGACCCTAAGCAATTCTCCTGCATTAGCAGGAGAAAAAAAAAAGTGTCAGAATTACAGGTGTGAGCCACTTTGCCTGGCTTCCAATGACCTTTAAAGAAGTAGTGCTATGTTCGCTGACCTAGTCTTACTACAACATATCTTTATTGATCAGTTTTTCAGCTTCTGATTAATGCTCAAGATGTATCTTGAGGCTGGGCATGGTGGCTCTTGCCTGTAATCCCAGCATTTTGGGAGACCAAGGCAGGAGGATAACTTGAGTCCAGGAGTTCAAGACCAACCTGGGCAACAAAGTAAGACCTTGTCTCTACAAAAAAAATAAACAAAATTATCTGGGCATGGGGGTACTTGCCTTTAGTCCCAGCTACTTGGGAGGCTGAGGTGGGAGGATTACTTGGGCCCAGGAGGTCAAGGCTAAAGTGATTGTGCCACTGCATTCTAGCCTGGGCAACAGAGAAAGACCCTGTCTAAAAATATATATATGTGTGTGTGTGTGTGTGTGTATATATGTGTATATATATATCTTGAGAGCTGAGGAACTGAGTATGGTGGTTCACTCCTGTAATTTCAGCACTTTGGGAGGCCAAGGAGGGAGGATCACTTTAAGGTCAGGCATTCATGACTGGCCTGGGCAACATAGTAGGACCGTGTCTCTACAAAAAATTTTAAAATTAGCCAGGTATGGTGGTGTGCACCTGTAGCCCTAGCTACTTGGGAGGCTGAGGCAATAGGATGGCTTGAGCCCAGGAGTTCAAGGTTACAGTGAGCTGTGATCATGCCACTATACTCTAGCCTGGGCTACACAGCTAGATTCTGTCTCTTAAAAAAAAAGTTGTTGTTGTTGTTGTTGTTTTTAAAGATGTATCTTGAGTCAAATCCCCAAAACACACAAAGAGGAGCTGAAAGTCATATAAACCTTTAATAAGCCCTTGGGACTTTCAGTTTTAACAAAAAGGTCAACCAAACGCCCCTTCTTTTGGTCTATAAGTAGAGCTTTGATAACAGCCATTCTGAAGAGTCCAGACAATTGCTGTGAATAAAGGATGTATCACAAAGCCCCAGATATTTGCTTAGGAAATAATAATCAGAAGGACAGGTTTTGGAGTGATCTATCACTCATTCATTCAACAAATGTTTAGTGAGTGCCTACTATATGCCAGGCTTTGTTTCAGGTACTAGGAATATCTCAGTAAATTTTTTAAATGTTTTAAAAAAGTAAAAAAAAGTTTGGATATTTATGTGATTCCCTGTTGCATACTTACAATGTGTGCTTCAACTTTTATTTAAACTAGATTCAGTGGGTTTCTTTTATTTGTATCCAAAAGGCGCTTTCTATAAAAGTGACACAGTAATAAGAGGTTACCATCCCTAATTGCAGGAAGCTCCTACAAGTCAGTAAGAAAATGATTAACACAATAATATGAGGAAAGGAATGAAGTGGCAATCCACTAAGGTAATATAAACAGCCAATAAATACAACAAAAGTTTTTTTTTACTAATAATAAAAAATTATAAATAAAATTTAAAAAGAAACACATTTTCTTTTTTGGCCTATCAACTTGATAAAAGTAAAAAGCACTTATAATATCCAGTGTTGGTGAGAATATAGAGAAAATTGACTCTCAGGCAGCGTAGAATATTAAATGGATACAACTTTTTTTGCAACTCAGCCATATTTATCATAACTGTAAATGTAAATTCCCTTTGACCCCACAATTATATGAATTCTTCATGAGGGAAGGTAATTATGCACACAATAGGTGTGTATGTACAAGAATATTCATTATAGTATTTTTATGACACCAATAACTTGGAAACAATCTAATTGCACACCAATAGTTAGGCAAATTATTGTATTTCCATAAAATAAAATACTATGCAACTATTGAAAATAATATAGACGATTACTTATGGACATATGATAGCTATAACTTTTTAAGTGTATTAATAAAAACAGTTCAGTATCATCTTATTTTTTTAAATTGTATATTTATTACACATCTGTGTGAGGCATGTGGCTAGAGAGCTATATATGGAAAGAACTGTCAAAATGTTTACGTAGTATATGACAATTTATAAATGAGCATTTATTTAATCATTTAGCACTATTTATAAACAATATGTGCTACGCATTGTGCTGGGTTCTGGAGAAACGAAAGAGAACAATCTATTAATTTAATCTGTTAATTTAGTCCACCAAATCAACAGTGTTTTTTAGAAATATGGCAATAACCAGTGTTGATGAATTAGAGGAGGCAACCTCATATACTACTGTTGAGAGTATATGTTGGTAAAACATTTCTGGAGAACAATTTAGTACTTTTTTTTTTCTTGAGACGGAGTCTCACTCTGTTGCCCAGGCTGGAGTGCAGTGGCACGATCTCGGCTCACCACAACCTCCGTCTCCCCGATTCAAGCGATTCTCCTGCCTCAGCCTCCTGAGTAGCTGGGACTACAGGCGCACGCCACCACGCCCGGCTAATTTTTGTATTTTTGGTAGAGATGGGGTTTAACCATGTTGGCCAGGATGGTCCGATCTCCTGACCTCATGATCCACCCGCCTCTGCCCTCCAAAGTGTTGGGATTACAGGCGTGAGCCACTGCGCCCGGCTTTTTTTTTTTTTTTTTTTTTTTAAACAGAATCTCTGTCGCCCAGGCAGGCTGGAGTGCAATGGCGCGACCACGGCTCACTACAACCTCGATCTCCTGGGCTTAGGAGATCCTCCCACTTCAGCTTCCCGAGTAACTGGGAATGCATGCCAACATGCCCAGCCTTTTTTATTTTAGTATTATTATTATTATTGTAGCGACGAGGTCCCACTATATTAAAATAATATAGTGATCTCGAACTCCTGGGCTCAAGTGATCCTCCGCCCTCGGCCTCCGATAGTGCTGGGATTACAGGCTACCGCACCCAGTCTCTTTTTTTACAAAGAATGTAAATAGCCGGTGGAGGTTAGATTGGCAGCTGTTTGCAAAGATGTCAGACTATTTCATTACGGAAAGATGCTCTCAAAAGACAAAATAGGTAAATCGAAAGAAAGTGTCCATTTTTTCTCAGTGACCTAATCAGGTATCATCTTGGTTTTGAGGACACAGAAAGACAGCGCCCTCATGGAGTTCAAAGTCTGGTGGAGGAAACCAATCATAATAATAATGAGGGGTTAACGACAACAGAGCCTTGAAAGATAACATCTCCAGGGAATAAGGAAGAGCATTCCAAGGTATTTTGCCAAATGGCAAAAACCGCGGTTACTTTTGCACCAACCTTAATACAAATAAAAGCATGTACACAAACAAGATACTCGAGGAAGAATACGGCTGACACACAGAAACGGATCGTTATCTTGGGGCTTTCCTGCAGCCTCGTTTCTTTCAGTCACATAACACCCCAGAATCTGTGGACGGTGAATGAGAGCTAGTATCACCCGGAGTCACGGCTGTTGCCTCGTAAGACTTTAGATGCAGCCCGCCACCGGGAGAAACTGGAGGGAATCCGCAATACACAGGAACCAAGAAGGGCTACGTGACAGGGGGTGCCCCGCAGCTCTCAGCCGCCGGCACTCCCAGCCCTGGGTTTCCCGCCAATCTCAGTTCCTAGATCTTCCCAGGCTCCGCCCGCCGCCGAGCGGTCGGAGAGTTTAAGGAAGGGGAAGTGTTGCAAGCCTATCGATATCTCTGGAATAGACTGCGCTACCCTGCGCCGCCGCCATCAGACTCCCGCAGACTTCTCTGTAGATCGCTGAGCGATACTTTCGGCAGCACCTCCTTGATTCTCAGTTTTGCTGGAGGCCGCAACCAGGCCCGCGCCGCCAACATGGTACGTTGAATCCCGACCTCTGGAAGGTTTAGGGCAGAGCTCCGGTGACTGGGGGATGACGAGCCACCTCTCCTGTCATCCTTAGCGCCGCCCGGGGCCACGAGGTATGGGAGCCTCGGCAGACGGCCGGGCTCCGGCAGTGATTCAGCATCTCCGGCCTGGCCGGGCTAGGGGCTGTCGGTAGCCAGTGCGGCCTTTCCACCGCTTTCGCTTCCCGGGGAGCCTCCGACACTTCCTCCTCTGTCAGCTAGATGAGTTCGCCCCTCAGGTTCCTTCAGTGGAGTAGATTCTGAGCGGTCCAGAATAGCCCCTAGTGCTGTGTATGGGAGAGGAGAAGACAGAGACTTGACTTGGAGGCCTACCTGTACCACCAGTGCGGACTTGACCCCCAGGTTTGTGTTCCTGGACCGCGTCCGTTTTCCTGGTGGGTCCGTCTGATTTATCTCTCCCCTAGACTTCGGTTAGAAGAGGCCCTTTTCAATAATTTTGTCCAGTCACCTATTTACAGATGAGTAAGCCGAGGCTGAGAGGGGAAGTGATGGAATCTGGGTTACAACATAGGGTTCTGGGTTTCCAGTGCTGTGCTCGCACTCAATCTCACTCCCGTGATTAGTCTCCCCAGCACTGCTAGACTTGTTATAATAGTCATAATAGCCGTAATGGTTCTATCGCTGCAGCTGTTTGTGTCCACCTCTAACTTTCTGAGGACATTTTTGTTCATTCAATATGAATATACAGACAGAGCATTTGTACAAGCATAACTACAGTGAACGTTCAAAAGTCATACATGTCCCTAATCATAAAGGCAGAAAGGGACGTTTAGATAAAGAACTGTGGGAGTATGTGTTAGGGGGATTTGGGAAGAAAAGGAGAAGACTTCCAGAAATCGACATTTAAGCTAACTTAAGGAAAAGAAAGGCTTTTAACCATTTATTAGGTCCCAATAAAAGGCAGCAGCATAAGCAAAAATAGGCAAGAAAGTTGATTGTGAACTTTAGTAATTGAGCCTAAAGGGATTGCTATGGAGGGTATTAGAATAAGAGGTTGGAAAAATAGGACCCATTTAGATCTGCTTCTCCCTCTCCCACCAGTTTATGGTAAATGTAGAATTGGCTTACGTCTGAGTACAGTAGTAATCTTCCAGTAAGATTGCATGAACAGAGTGCCTTAACATTGAATGGAAACACAAGCATAATTAGAGTTGGGATTTGAAATGTTCTTCTATTAACAGTTCTTTTTTTCTTTTACTTTTAGTTTCGAAATCAGTACGACAATGATGTCACTGTTTGGAGCCCGCAGGTAAAATAATGTTTTTTAAACTATTTCTGTGAAATGGCTTTTTGTGGCTGCAATATATTTAGAAGCTTGTGAGAGCATAGGCTTGGGGAAAATGGAATATAATATTTTAGTCGTTCTTGGAAGTTGCTTTTATAATTAAAATAGGTCTCCTGATGGACCTAGAGGACATTATGTTAAGTGAAATAAGCCAGAAACAGAAAGAAAAATATTTCATGCTCTCACTTATATGTGGAATATTTTGTTTAAAAGAGCAAATATATATAGAGAGGGAATAAAACAGTGGTTACCAGGGTAGGGAATAGCAGTGGGGAGGAAAAAAGAGGAGATACAAAGTATCAAATATGTAGGTTGAGCAAGTGGAAGGATCTAACGTACAACATGAAGACTACAGCTAATAATGCAGGTAGTGTTTTGTATTCAGGATTTTTGCTAAGTGAGTAGTTGATAGCTCTTGCCACAGCAGAGGAAAATGGGTAAGTATGTGAGACAATGGATGTGTTCATTCTGCGATAGTGACCCTACTATATATGTGTATCTTACAACATCATGTTGCATACCTTAAGTATATACAACAAAATTTATTTTAAAAGAAGCTTTTGGCTAGACGCAGTGGCTTATGCCTGTAATCCCAGCACTTTGGGAGGCCGAGGAAGGTAGATTGCTTGAGTCTTGGAGTTCAAGACCACCCTGAACAACATGAAACCTGGTCTCTACAAGAAATACAAAAATAAGCTGGGCGTGGTGGTGCCTGCCTATAGTCCCAGCTACTGGGGACGGTGATTTGAGAGGATTGCCTGAGCCCAGGAGGCAGAGGTTGTACTGAGCTGAAGATTGTGCCACTGCACTCCAGCCTGGGTGACAGAGTGAGAACCTGTCTCAAAAAAAAAGTTTCTTGATTTAAAAAAAAATCAGTTGAGATTTAACTATGCCCACCTGACATTTGAAAACTCTAATTTTTAAGTTATAAAAGGCCTTCTAAGATGTGGTTTTGTTTTTTTTTTCTTTAGGGCAGGATTCATCAAATTGAATATGCAATGGAAGCTGTTAAACAAGGTTCAGCCACAGTTGGTCTGAAATCAAAAACTCATGCAGTGTTGGTTGCATTGAAAGTAAGTAAAGTAATAAATATGTCTTCCTCTGTAGAAAACTATTAATGTAAATTTCACCATAGACAGTAAGGTTGTAAACTTATTTTTACATTTTTTTTTTAACATCTTATAATGTCTCCATTTAGAGGGCGCAATCAGAGCTTGCAGCTCATCAGAAAAAAATTCTCCATGTTGACAACCATATTGGTATCTCAATTGCGGGGCTTACTGCTGATGCTAGACTGTTATGGTAAGTATAATCACGAAAAATAAACATCCTTTTTGATTCATAATTGATTAGTTTTCTCAAAAAGATCCAGATAAGATATTTTAGGAAGTTGTCTGCCAGAATGCTTGTAAATTAAGATTATGAATACCTTGGTGGGTTTGAGTTTGTTGTTAAATTTTCCATTTTTTGATCCCCGTAGGAATAACTCATAAAATTAAACATTAGCACTTTTTAGAAGTCCCTGAGTAATGTGATATTTGTTAATACAATGTATATTGTTTGAGACCCTGTTATGTCTAAGAAGAGCTTGATACTTTTGTCTGGTTTCTAAGGAGAAGCTGAACCATACTTGTTTTCTTTGTGCTTGTTTTCTTCAATACATCAGTATTTATTAGACCTTTTTTTTTGCAATGCTCAATACTGGATACTGCAGGGTATACATAAGTGACTCAGACATGGATCTTGTCTTAAAGGAACTTGAAGGCAAGTTTATCTATAAACTCAAATCTAGTTTATCTATAATATAACAGAAAAATTTCTGTGAGTCTAAAAGAGACAGATTATTAATGGTTGAAAGGCAATATGTAAATGAAGAGATAGGGCTTTGAAATTGCACAGATTGAGTTCTCACCTTCACCACTTAGTATCTGAGATTGGGCTAAATACCTAAACACTGCATTTTTTCCAGTGTTTTCTTTATCAAGGCTACTTTTAAATATTTTTTTTTTTTTTTTTTTTTTGAGATGGAGTCTCACTCCCACCCAGGCTGGAGTGCACTGGCACGATCTCAGCTCCCTGCAACTTCCACCTCCCAGGTTCAAGCAATTCTCCTGCCTCAGCCTCCCGAGTAGCTGGGATTACAGGCACCCGCCACCACGCCTGGCTAATTTTTGTATTTTCAGTAGAGACGGGGTTTCGCCATGTTGGCCAGGCTAGTCTTGAACTCCTGACCTCAGGTGATCCACCCACCTTAGCCTCCCAAAGTGCTGGGATTATAGGTGTGAGCCACCATGCCCAGCCTATTTTTAAATATTTTAAATTGCCTACCGTAAAGCACTAACACAGAGCCTTTCAGGTATTATGTGAGTATGTGTGTTGTGGAAGGCAGGCAGTTAGCTAAAACTAATCTCTTAAATTTGTGATTTGATTAGGAAAGAAAGAATATAAATTATAAAGGTGGGCCTGGCACAGTGGCTCCTACCTATAATCCCAGCTCTTTGAGAAGCTTAAGGCCAAGAATTTGAGACCAGGGCAACATAGTGAATCCCCATCTCTACAAAAAATTTTAAAACTTAGCTGGGGTGTGGTGGCACACACCTGTTGTCCTAGCTACTCAAAAGGCTGAGGTGGGAGGATTGCTTGAGTCCAGGATTTCAGGGTTGCAGTGAGCTCTGATAGTGCTACTGTACTCTAGCCTAGGTGACAGAGTGAGATTCTATTTTTTTTTTTTTTGAAACAGAGTCTCATGCTGTCACCCAGGCTAGAGTGCAGTGGTATGATCTTGGCTCCGCCTCCAGAGTTCAAGCAATTCTTCTGCCTCAGCCTCCCAAGTAGCTGGGACTACAGGCATGTGCCACCACACCCGGCTAATTTTTGCATTTTTAGTAGAGATGGGGTTTTGCCATATTGGCCAGGCTGGTCTAGAACTCCTGACCTTGTGATCCGCCTGCCTCGTCCTCCCAAAGTGCTGGGATTACAGGTGTGAGCCACAGCACCAGGCCAAGTGAGACCCTATTCTTAAAACAACAGTAGCAGCAAAAGCAGTGTAAATAGTAGTGCTATTGTTTAAGAATTTCAGGCTGAGCATGGTGTCTCATGCCTGTAATCCCAGCACTCTGGGAGGCTGAAGCAGGTGGATCACCTGAGGTCCGGAGTTTGAGACCAGCCTGGCCAACATCATGAAACCCTGTCTCTACTAAAAATAAAAAAAATTAGCTGAGCATGGTGGCAGGTGCCTGTAATTCCAGCTACTCGGGAGGCTGAGGCAGGAGAATCGCTTGAACCCAGGAGGCAGAGGTTGCATTGAACTGAGATCATGCCATTGTACTCCAGCCTGGGCAACAAGAGTGAAACTCAGTATTAAAAAAAAAAAAAGAAGGAAAGAATTTCAAGTTATTCAGCCAGTCCCTTACTCTAAGTCAGCAATATAATGACAGCCTTAAGGGTTTCCACCTACTCTTCAAAATGGAAAATGTATTATATTATCAAACATTTTATTTAACTCAATCTATAAAATACTGCCATGCCAACACATAATCAATATAAAAACTTTATTAATGAGTTATTGCACGTTTTTAGTTACTAAGTCTTTGAAATTTGGTATGTTATTTTGTACTTCTGAATTCAGTCTAGCTACTTTTCAAGGGCTCCATAGCCACATGTGATTATCGTATGCGATATTGGGCAGTTTACTTTTAGACAGCATTGGGAAATGGACTTGCATATAAGTACTGAACAAATAGCTTGGTTCCTGTAGCCAACCATGTGATGATCAGATGTGACATACACATATACTGGACAAAGCAACATTGAAAGAAAGGAGCATATCCATTTCTTGTTGATCTTATTTATAGGCATGAATTCTCTTCTCCCCAGTGTTAACCTTGCTTGAATTTCATCAGATTTAACAGTGAGACTCAGCGGCTAGTGTCCACTATCTCCTCTAGAGTGCTTCTTATGAATAGAAGTAACAGTGGCAGGAACACGTAAAGATGCCCTCTGCTGTGGTTTCCATTTCTTATAGTTGCTCTTTCGGGGAAATGTTAGTCTGCTTTCAAGAAAAAAGGACAGAGTAGATAATCTTTTTGCTGGTTCAAGATCTAGAATTAAGATTGCTGACAGTGGGAAGGATAAGAGAAGAGAGATTGCTCTTTTTCTCTTGTTCAGCCTTCTCTGTTCTATAAGTGCTGTGAGACAAAGATTCTCTAGAGCTAAAAAATATTTCAGTATTTTTTAAAAACCTTATGTGGCTCCAGAGTTTGGCACAAAAACGCACCCTTGCAGGCATGTCTTTCTTACCTTCTGTCTTTCTTATATGGATGTGATCCATGTAAACACTTGGAATAATGCGAAGTGAAATCAAACAATTTAGATTGGAATAGTTGTCTATAATTTGCAATTACTAAACTTTGTTTCTTTTTTAGTAATTTTATGCGTCAGGAGTGTTTGGATTCCAGATTTGTATTTGATAGACCACTGCCTGTGTCTCGTCTTGTATCTCTAATTGGAAGCAGTATCCTTTTTATGTTAGCATTTATGGATATGAACTTTGAAGGGTTTTGATACTTCTGTTAATTATTAGGAATATGATAATAACATGACATAGGTAAGATTGTGAAAACTTTAAAACAACAAATTGGGTTGCTCTTTCATTAGCCTTTATAAGCAATTGATATTTGCTAGACATAGATAAGCCCAACTTCAGGAAAATTAAGCATCTTTTTAGAGGGGATTTAAAGTTTCTTAATGGTTCTAGATGTCCCAAGAAATCCTAGACCCCTTGTATCCAAAACAAATCAGGTTTTACATGGGAAGAAATCATTTTGTTGGCACTCTTTCTTAGATTTGGTAGAAAGTCAAACATTTTATATTAGGCCAAAGAAATAGTGTCCTTTTGCGTTATTTCTCTGGTGGATTATGTAACAATTAAGGAATAAGCCAGATACCTTTGTTAATAATGTATAATTTGAAAATAAAGGCCGGGCGCGGTGGCTCAAGCCTGTAATCCCAGCACTTTGGGAGGCCGAGACGGGCGGATCACAAGATCAGGAGATCGAGAACATCCTGGCTAACACGGTGAAACCCCGTCTCTACTAAAAAATATATATATAAAACTAGCCGGGCGAGGTGGCGGGCGCCTGTAGTCCCAGCTACTCGGGAGGCTGAGGCAGGAGAATGGCGGGAACCCGGGAGGCGGAGCTTGCAGTGAGCTGAGATCCGGCCACTGCACTCCAGCCTGGGCTACAGAGCGAAAAAAAAAAAAAAAAAAAGAAAATAAAGACAGTACTTCATTCCTTGTTAAAAGAAGCTCTTTAACCAGTCTAAGAGACCCAGATACCAACACAACGATATGGCCGGAGACCATATGGTGTTGGGCTGCTTATTGCCGGTTATGATGTAAGTTCATTGAATATTGTTATATGTTAATGATTTTTTTTATTAACTAGAAATTTTTATAATTTTTAGTTCAACCAACGTAAATAATTATGTGGTGTATTTATTTCTATTTGTAGGATATGGGCCCTCACATTTTCCAAACCTGTCCATCTGCTAATTATTTTGACTGCAGAGCCATGTCCATTGGAGCCCGATCCCAGTCAGCTCGTACTTACTTGGAGAGACATATGTCTGAATTTATGGAGTGTAAGTGATAGCCTTGCTTTTTTTTTTTTGGCCTCTTCCAGTCTATATAGTAAATAAATATAGTATCCTAACTACATAAAACTATCAGTCTTACAGAAAGAATTTTTTTTTTAATTAAGCCCAGGAAGAGTTTGTTTCTGTCACATATACTAACTTCAACTTCTGGTTACCGCCAGAAGTTAAAATTGATACCGTAGTTTCAATCACGACTAGAACTTTTTCAAAATATAAATGTGTTCCCAACCTTGAAAATTCTTGATTCAGTTGGTCAGAAGTGTGCCCTGTGGAGTGGAGAGTGGAGAACCACTATACTACCTGCCAGTTGTAAGCTCTGTTCACTTTTAGTTTTCTGTGAGTCTTATTTTAAGCCACACAGACATTTCTGCATTAGTAGTCCATAAACAAGAAATAAAAAGGCAGTGTAGTTGAGGGAAAAGAAGGTAAAAGAGGTAAGATGTTATGACAGGGCAGGTTTTCAAGTGCTTTGCTTTGCTTTGCTTTGCATTGGAAGGAGGGTATTGGGTTTTACATTTCTCTTTGTCATCTTATCTGTTTTCTGGTGACATAGCATTCTTTGGAGGAAATATTTGGGGTTTAGTGAATGCAGAGAAAAATAGTTTAATTGACATTACTCAAAGCAAACTGTTGTAGGATGACAATAGGTTTAACTTTGGGAAAAGAGGATTCCTTGGACAAATAAGCTTGGTAAATGCTTGCTTAAAGTTTAACATTTTAAATTATGGTAAATGGATTGGGGTCCCCAAGGTTACCCCTAAATTGGGAGATTTGCTAGGACTTAAAGCACTCAGCATATACTTGTACTCCCAGGTAAGACTTATAACAATAAAATAACAATACATAGGTGGATCATTAAGGAAAAATACAGTCCAGAGGAATCTATGTGCAGGCTTTCTTATGCTCTTTCCTTCCCAGAAGGAGTCACAGAGTACACTTGCAGCAATATGTATGTGATGTTTCTGCCCAGGGAAGCTCATTGGAAACTCAGTGTCCACAGTTTGATTCAGAACTGCTCATATCGGCACCCTCTGCCTAGCACATTTCAACCTGATAGGAAATTCCTAAAGATTGCAATAAATCCATAGATAATTTTGGGGAGTACTGCTACTTAAATGATACAAGGCATCTGATCCATGAACATGGAATATCTTCATTTATTTAGGTATTTAATTCTTTTTTTCTTTTTTTTCTTGAGACGGGGTTTCGCTCTTGTTGCCCAGGCTGGAGTGCAATGGCACAATCTTGGCTCATTGTAACCTCTGCCTCCCGGGTTCAAGCAATTCTCTTGCCTCAGCCTCCTGAGTAGCTGGGATTACAGACTCGCCACCACACCCGGCTAATTTCGTATTTTTAGTAGAGACAGAGTTTCTCCATGTTGTTGGTCAGGCTGGTCTCAAACTCCCAACCTCAGGTGATCCACCTGCCTCGGCCTCCCTAAGTGCTGGGATTACAGGCATGAGCCACTGCACCCGGCCAGGTATTTAATTCTGTCACTGATGTTTTGTAGTTTTCCATGTACAAATCATATTTGTCTTATAAGTATTTTATTATTTTTGGTGCTGTTGTGAACAGAATTGTGTTCTTAATTTCATTGCATATTATTCATTGCAACTACATAGAAATACAATTGATTTTTGTATATCAATCTTATATCCTGCAATCTTGCTGAACTCGTTTATTAGTTCTAGTCATTTTTTTATAGATTCCTAAGATCGTGTCATCTGAGAATAGAGATAGTTTTACTTTCTTCTTTCTAATTGCCCTGGCTGGAACCTCTGGTACAATGATGAATAGAAGTTGCATGAACAAACATTCTTTTCTTTGTTCCTTAACTTAAGGGAAAAGCTTTTAGTCATTCACTATTAAGAATGATGTTACCTGGCCGGGTGCGGTGCCTCACGCCTGTAATCCCAGCACTTTGGGAGGCCAAGGCAGGTGGATCACGAGATCAGGAGATCGAGACCATCCTGGCTAACACGGCGAAACCCCGTCTCCACTAAAAATACAAAAAATTAGCCGGGCGTGGTGGTGGGCACCTGTAGTCCCAGCTACTCGGGAGGCTGAGGCAGGAGAATGGCATGAACCCAGGAGGCAGAGCTTGCAGTGAGCCGAGACTGCCCCACTGCACTCCAGCCTGGGCGACAGAGCGAGAGACTACGTCTCAAAAAAAAAAAAATGATGTTACCTGTCAGCTTTTTGTAGATGCCCTCTATAAGAGGTTGCTTTCAATTACTAGTTTTGTGTTTTTATTATGCAAGGATTTTAGGTTTTATCACATGCTTTTTATGCATCTCTTGAGGTGATTATGCAGGTTTCCCCCTTCCTTCTGTTAACGTGTGTTACACTGACTTTCAGTTGTTAAACTAACTTACCATTCTTGGGATAAATCTCGCTTGTCTATGGTATATAATTTTTTAATATGTTGCCAGGTTCCATTTGTAGTTTTTGTTGAGGGTTTTATTTTTTTATTATTGTTACTATTTTTTGCATCTATATTGGGTCTGTAGTTTTCTTTTCTTGTGATGTCTTTATTCTTGGTATCAGTAATACTGGCCACATAGAATAAGTTGGAGATTCCTTTTTACAATGAGTAAATATAGGGACTAGGATTCTACAGAACACATTCTACAAAACTTGGAGTTGTATAATTTGTTGTCGGGATTTTGATTTGACCTAGCAAAAGAGAAGATCAAAATTGTAACAGAAATAATGAGTCTTCTCATTAAATAATGATCAGCAATGTCATAGAATCCTATTAAAAGATTGTATGACTAGCATTAAACTTGGCTGTTTTTACTGTGATAAATTTAGTGTGTAACTAAAAACCACAATTTCAGACTGTAGATTTGATAAATAACAGAAGCCTAACAATGAAATTAAGAAATAATTGTTGATTTATTACATATAGGCAATTTAAATGAACTAGTTAAACATGGTCTGCGTGCCTTAAGAGAGACACTTCCTGCAGAACAGGACCTAACTACAAAGGTAAGTATTGTCTTTTCCAATTGTAGATATTAATGTTACAGTTTAAACCTTTATTGCATAAATGTAATGGAGTATATATACAATATTCTTTAATTTGGGATATGATTGTCTTGCAGATTCTTTCCCTTTAAGCTATTTGCTAAGTAATCCAATTTTATTTTTTAAGCATTTCTTTTTGGTACAAAGCAGTAAAACCAGTAAATCTCATGCAAAATGTCCTTCATTATTTTCAGCAGATTGGCCTATCTTGGTATTATTTAGTTAACAAAAATATATATATATTGAGCACCTACCATGTGCAGGCACTTTCTAGGCATTCAAAATATAGTAAACACAACAAATACCTTTTCCTTCATGGAACATACATCCTAGTAGGGAAAGATAGTATACACATAAGTACATTATATAGTATATTAGAAGAAGATAAATGCTATGTAAAAAATAAAAAAGGGTAAAAGGAGAAAGAATGACTTAATTGGATGTAGGCAGGTGGTCAAGGATATTTTCACCAAGAAAATGAAATTTGAGGAAAAGATATAAAGGAGGTAAGTGAGTGTGAGCTATGCAGATGTCTAGAGCAAAATTATTCTAGGAAATACAAATGCAAAGGCCCTAGTATTCAAGGCAAGGAGGCCAGTAGTGTTGGGGTCAATCATCAGGAGGAAAAGGAAAGAAATCAGAGAGGTAATGGAGGTCCCATAAGGCATTGTGGGTACTCTGCATTTTACTCTGAGTGGGCTATTAAGAGTTTGAGCAGAGGAATACCATGATTTGGTTTAGGTTTTAAAACAGTCACTCTGGTTGGCATTTTAGCAACAAATTGTGGGCTGGGCGTGGTGGCTCATGCCTGTAATCCCAGCACTTTGGGAGGCTGAGGTGGGTGGATCACTTGAGGTCAGGA